GAAATAATATTTCGACGGCATCAACGCAGCAATATAGCACGCGTCGGTGATGATCGTGAAGCGTCAAAAGTGTTGACCGTCAAAATGAACGAGATTGGGTCGACGATCCGCAGTGGCAACTACGATATGATTTAACGGTTGCGAATGTGGTGCGCCGGGGGCGCTCTAAAGCATGCCTGCGCTTGCCCGCCCATCTTCGTCGCAGCGCAGCTCGTCCAGGACGCCCCCTGGGCCCACCTCGGCCCTTCCCACTCATCGAGAGCAAGTGCCGCGCAGATGATGGGCGGCTCGCACGCTCCAAGCCAGGCCATCGTAATTGGAGACAGATCTTGGATATGAGCGGCACCCCGTTTGCCTCAGGCTGGATGTCGCCCAAGGAGTTCGGTCGGCGGTAGAGGTCGCTGACCAGTCTCGGGGGCTCCTTGACATCAGCTGCACGCGCCAGCACATCAATAATGCTTTTTCGGGCCTGAGGCTCGGCTCGTGCCCCTCGCAATGCCAAAGGCGCAAACAAGCAATGTGTACAGGGTTGCGCGTTGTCACGACGGACGTGGATCAGGCCTTTGAAGCGCGTGCGTCGTCGTCGATTTTGCCGGGGTGGGACCTCTCGGAGCAGACCTATGCGTCGAAATCCGGGATCTCGAGACTCCCCGCGAGACGGGGGGGGGACTTTCTAGCCGGACACGGGGGCCGAGTGAGGAAATTTGATAGAGGATGGTGGCTTCTTTCCTTGGGGCAACTACGTGGACCTCTTGCGGCTGCTTCCCGTGCAACTAACTCTAGCTGTGCTCTGGGCCACTGTCGTGGAAATGGCTGGGGTGGCTATTAGTGGTGTCATGTCGTCGGCTGCCGTGTCGTTTCGTCTGGGGGCTGAAGAACTAGTCGATAGGTATGCTCGTGACCGCCATCTAGCGCAAGGTCTGCGGTTTCCAGGAGATCCCCGAGAGGATATCAACTGGAGCAGGTATGTGGATGATATGCTGCCTGGAAGTGTTACCCATTGTTGTGATTGCGTACAACTGTATCTGGAGCAATTTTTTCCCAGGAGCCTCTGAGTGTAGTGTTTAAATCGGATAATGATCCTGGAGGCCTGTTCGAATGGTTGGATCTTTGTCTCAGACTTCAAGGGTGTAGCTTGTCATTCACGCATGAGAACCTTAATCGGGGTGAGCTGCGCGCAGGTTGGGGGGACTTTCTTACCCGTGCAAGCTGGTCTAAGTCTCCCGTGCAGCCGCGCCCGCGCGCGCGCCCGCCCGCGCGCCGGGCTCGCTCCTCCTTGGCCTTCGGCCAAGGCTGCGGCCGCTCCTGTCTCGGCCTCGCCGCTCCTCCTCGGCGCGCCTGGTCGGCGCCCTTCCCCTCCTCGTGCAAGTGCTGTCCTCGTGCCAGTGCTGTCCTCGTGCTAGTGCTGTCCTCGTGCTAGTGCCGTCCTCGTGCTGTCCTCGTGCTAGTGCTGTCCTCATGCGTCCCCCTGCAGCAGAGCTGTCCTCGCGCTAGTGCTGTCGTCGTGCTAGGCCGCCGGTTCCAGGCCCAGGGGCGTGAGCCACCATACCCCTGCGTTAGGCGCGCTGGCTGGCCCGGGGACCACCTCAGGCAGCGCTGATAAGCGTGCGCGCCACCTCCCGCACCACGCAGGTGGCGATGGACCGGTGGAGAGTGCTGAGAGTCTCCTGTCGCCCAGGGCCCTCCAGCACTTGCTGCGCGAGCCATTTCTGGGTGGACTCGCTCATGGCTCCCGAGACTTCGAAGCCGAGCGGCTGGAAACCAGCGACTCCGTTGTATTTGCGGCGCTTGGCCTGTTCGGCCACTCTGGCAGCGGTGCCTTGGGCGTGGGCCCCTCCGGCCTGCAGGCTCTGCTGCGAGGCACTGGCCGCCATTGTCGGTGCACCTGAGGTCCGCGCGGAGACGCTGATTGCCCGGCCCGGTGGGCGGGCGGAGACCCGCCTCCTCCTCCTCTTCCTCCTCCTCCTCCTCCTGCTCCTCCCCCTGCTCCTCTTCCTCCTCCTCCACCTCCTTCTCCCTCTCCTCCTCCTCCAACTCCTCCTCCTCCGCCTCCTCTTCCTCCTCCTCGTCCAATTCCTCCCAAGTCCTCCTCCTCGTCCTCCTCCTCCTCCTGCTCCTGCTCCTCCTCCTCCTCCTCCTCTTCATGCCCCCGTCTTCTTTCTCCTTCTCGTTTTCGTCCTTCTCCCATTCCTCCTCCTCCTCCTCCTCCTCCTCCTCCTCTCGTCCTCCCCCTTCTCCTCCTCCTCCTCCTCCTCCTCCTCCTCCTCCTCCTCCTCCTCCTCTTCATCATCCCCTTCCTCCTCCTCCTGCTCCACCTCCTCCTCCTCCTCATCCTCTTCCTCCTCCTCCTCCTTTTGCCTGGGTTTCCTGCGGCGTTCTTGATGTGCATAAACTAACAAGATCGTGTCCGTCTCGGCGCAAAAAAAACGGCGCGCGCTGCGGAAAATGAAGGAAGAAAAAACACAGACGATAATAGTAAAAAGAGTAGGCGCCCGCCAAGTATTCGAGGTCGGCAGTAATCCATCAGATCCCCCAATCAAATCCAGAATGCTAGGCTCCTTACTTTCCAATGGTAGTGCCGCCTCGGAAGGCAAGGTGCAGAATAGCAGCCCTAGGGTTGCTGCCCAAGGTTCAAGGCTGACCCCAGACCGTAGTTACGTACGTCCCAACCTCCCCACAGCCACCACAACAGCCCCTCCCCGTCTGTTTTTCAATCTAAATGCCCTCTGGTGGCACAGCAAGCGGGCTGCAGTGAACCAGCCAACCAAACTGGGTGTAGCAATTTTTGGGTTGCTGCCGAGGGTTCTGGTGTACCCCAAACAGGAGGATCAGCAGCATCAGCATCATCATCCGCCTCCTCATCCTCCTCTTCCTCTTTCTCCTCCTTCTCCTCCTCCTCCTCCTCCTCCTCCTCCTCCTCCTCCTCCTCCTCCTCCTCTCCTCCTCCTCATCATCCTTCTCGTCCTGTTTCGTTTCGCCTCGTTTCGTCAAACAGGTGGTGCCTCGGCCCGCCGCGCCTCATGGCGCGCTCACCGCGCCCGGGTGCCTGCGGCGCGGCGCGCGCGCGCGCCCTGGCGGCCCGGCGTCGCGGCGTCGACCCCGCTGCCGCGATCTGCCCCCGAAGCCTGCTGCCACTGCCCGCCTACTCCGCCAGCCCACTGCCCACCCACGCCGCCTCATCCACCACCGCCACGTCGTAGCGCACCTCCTTCTCATCCCCCCCAAACCCGGCACGGAGTTTCACGTCACCCTTGGCCAGCGTGGTCATGATGAGAGCCTCGACGCACTGACCGAGATATCCAGTACGCTCTGCGAGCCCCTCGATAGAGGGGGCGCCAACTAGCACCCAGTGCTCCACGCTGCGCTGCGCCTCATCGGGGAGGGCCTGTCTCCACTCCCAGGAACCAGCGCACATCGCGTAAGCGTGCTCCAACGATGCTGCCTGGCCTCCGCAGAGTGGGCACGGCTCCGAACAACACTGCAAGCCCCTCCTCAACCAAATGCCAAGGGGTATCTGCCCGCTGATGCGCACAACCAGCCACGCGGCGACGAAGCGCCATTGACGCGTGCTCCACGGTGCCCACTGGAATCCAAGCGGGAAAAGGATCTGATGGGAACGATTTCGCGCAGGGGAGACGCCATTATTGGCCAGCTGGCCCAACTGTTCCTGCAACTATTGCTTTTCCTTGCGACGGATAGCAGGTACCACCGCGGAGTGCCTCCATTTCGCCACCGCCTTCTTGCACGTGTCGCGGTCGAAGAGGTCATCTTCAGTGGCTGGCACGAGTCGCAGAACTGCTTGACACCAAGTTCCCGGGTCAGCGTGTCCGCATGGTCCAACCACGTGGCCCCGGTGACGGCGCGCGCGCCAAGGCAAGCAGCTCCTGCGACAGATTCCCCTGGCAGGAGGTCTGGGCGGGCCCGCGTCGTGACAGTGCGCTGCAAGGCTATCGCTGCGACCCTGGTGCGCAGGCGGGTTTCGTGAAACACTCGGACGTGCCCGCCGGCGGCTAGTGAGACTCCCGCTTGAAGCCTCGACGTGACCTTGGCAGAGGCGCTCATGGCTTCATTGAGTTTGCGAGCGACGGACGGCGAGCCAGCGGCGCAGGAGGCTAGCAGCTCTTGCCGCGAAGCACTGCCGGGCAGACCCTCTTCGCGAACTGACTGGTGGTCAAGGGGACCCCGAGGCCCAGATCTTTCGCAGTTGAACTGGGCGCCGCCGTTCCAGAGACGAGTCTAGCACACGTGCGGTCGATGAGCTGTTCGGAAGGAAACCTGGAATCGACTAGTGTACCCAGCACGCCGATGCAACTGGTAGCCGCTACGGCCGCGCCTCCTCCTCCTCCTCCTCCTCCTCCTCCTCCTCCTCCTCCTCCTCCCTCCTCCTCCTCCTCCCTCCTCCTCCCTCCTCCTCCTCCTCCCCCCTCCCCTCCCCTCCCCTCCCCTCCCCTCCCCCTCCCCCCTCCCTCCTCCCTCCCCTCCCTCCTCCTCCTCCTCCTCCTCCTCCTCCTCCTCCTCCTCCTCCTCCTCCTCCTCCTCCTCCTCCTCCTCCTCCTCCTCTCATGTCAGCGTAACCGACCCTCTAGTTGTTTTGTGTGAAGCATCTGACGCAGCGCGAGCGCTGGTTATGCACCAACAGCGATACTACTCGAGATTGCGCTTGGCACGCTAAAGCTGCACATGTATGTTGACAACATGATGTGATCCACGCCTCTTCCTTGGCTGTCCTCCCTGTCCTGTTGGCACCAGCTATTCCCGTCCCAACGTATGTGAGATACCACATGCAAGAGCATGTTGATATGGTCGTTTGTGGTCAGGCTCCTTGCAGTCTTCTGGATCATCGTGGGCGCTCGTGGGCACGTCTTCTGTGACGATTCGTGCAGGGAGGGGAGGGGAAGCAGGGAGAAGAAGAAGGGGGATGGCGAGGGAGGAGGGACGGGCAGGGAATGGAGGGAGGAGGAATGAGGAAGGAGGAAGGAGGGGGAGGGATAAGAGGAGGAGGGAAGAGGGAGGAGTGTGGGGGCGGGGGGGGAGGCGGGCGACGAGGACGACGGCGAACGACTTTAGCAGGGCCGCTTTGTTAAAACTTGAGCTTCAGTGAGATCTTCGACGCGGCGCCCGGGCCCGCGGAGGCGGCAGCGCTGGACGCACCGGCGCCTCTGGCGCCCGCAGTAGACATGTGGTTCCTCATGAGCTGCTGTATCGTGGCCTGCCTCTCCGGGGCCATCGCGGCCACCGCGGCCCTCACGCCTTGCGCGTCCGTGCGCGCCACCTGCACGAGGCAGCGCGCCATGGCCTCGGTGTGGGCACCGAAGCTCCCAGGCTGCTGGCTGCTGCAGTCCAGCACCGCCAGCACCACGTGCAGCACCATCCGCGTGGTCGCCCCCGTGAAAGTTGCCCCGCCGGTCGCCTGCTGCGCCGCCAACATGGCCGACACGGCGCCCCAGGCGCCGTCCAGGGCGGCGGCGGAGGCGCCCGGGGACGCGAAGACGGCGGTCAGGCCTGGCAGGATGCCAGGGCAGAGCATCGCGCAGGCGGGGCTCTGGAGCAGGCCCTGCGCGGAGGAGATGGCGGTCTGCACCACCTTCGGGCTCTGGTGCTGCAGGCCCCGGGAGAAGGCCAGCTCGACTCTGCCCAGGCACTGCCTCGCCGCGGCCTTTGCGCCCGGGCGCAGCGGAACAGCGGGGCCGTCAGCCCCACCCTGGACGCCCTGCAGCACGGCGCAGATGGAAGCGACGGCGGGCACCAGCAACGCGAACTGGTAGAGTATATGCCTCTCCTCCGCCTCGGGGGCCGCCTCCGCGCGATCCAGGGCGGGGAGCAGCTCCCTGCACAGCCTGCTCGCGACGAGGGCCAGGTGCAGCAGCTGCCTGTCGCTCTGCCCGCCGCCCTGCCTAGGCTTGCACAGCAGGCCGCACACCATCTTCCAGAACTTGAGCGTGACCGCCGGCTGCGCGTGCACCAGCTCGGCGGGGAAGGGGGAGAGAAAGAGCAGCCACAGCCAGTGGCGACGGCCGCACCCGCGACACCCGGGCAAGCCCGCCACGCTCTCCCCTGCGAGCGCGGCCGCGACGACCTCGTCGTCCTCGGAGCCCGCTGCCTCTTCCTCGTCGGCTTCGCGCAAGAGCGACGTATTGTGCGTAGCTTGCCGGTCGTTGCGCGCGATGCGACACGTGGTGGCCCGTGCGCTCGGGTCTGACACCCGCGCGCACCCGTGGAAACCGCGCACCAGAGGTCACTCTGGCGAAGGGCCACTCTCCCAGACATCCGACGACGGGTCCCTTGAAAGGAGCGGCCCCCGGAAGCCCCGACCCCTTCCCCGAGGCAAACTTTTGGCCCCAGATCCGTTTCTGCTGGCCCCCGGGGGCCCGAACAAAAAAAAACAACGAAAACCGACATCGGGGGAAAAACGCCTGGAGCGAAACAGCCATATCGTGTGAGATCTAGGATTTATTGTGTGTGTGTGTTTGATTGTGTGTGTGTGTAAGTGTGTGTGTGTGTGTGTAAGTGTGTGTGTGTGTGTGTGTGCCGATCTCGGCGCAGGACGCCTCGGGGCCGTCCGCCAGCGAGTCGCCCAGCCACAGCACAAAGACCTCCAAAGCCTGCGACACCCTGGCCGCGTCGGCGGCCACCTCTGGGTTCCGCAGCGCCGCGGCCACCGCGTGCAGCGCGTAAGCGCCCACAGTGCCCCAGGCCTCCTGGGCCTGTTCGGTGTCCTGGGACCGGGTGCGCCGAAAGAACGAGCCAAGAAGACGGGGGCTAGCGCGTATGGCCCGAGGCATGTGGGACGCGTTGACATAAGAAGAGGAGGCAACGAAATCTGAGATTGCATCGCCCCGGCAATGAAATCCCCTCCTTGGCCTTCAAGCCCCTCATCGACGCGCCCAATGGGACAATGACAGTTCACGGGACCCCGGCACACCTCCTCCTTCTCCTCCGAAAAGCGATCATCTCCCCCCGCTTGAACCGCGGCCCTACTCTGGGGAAAACGCAAGCCATCTGGTTAGGTCGTCCCGCTTCGACGGTGCCACTCCCTGCGCTCGTTACGATCCTCTGTCCGCTCGGACCTCAACCATTGTTCCCCAAACAGTGTTTGTACGGGCTGGACGCTGGGGCGGCGGCGGCGGCGGGGGGCAACGGGAGGCGTCGACGACGTCGACGACGTCGCCGTCGACGGTCGCTGTCGTCGTTCGTTGTCGACGTCATCGTCGGGTCGTCGTCGTCATCGGCGGCGACGGGGCGGCCTGGGCCGTGCCCCCAGAGGGCAGGGGGCGTGAAGACCGGCGCGCCGCGCGCCCACGCCTCCACGCCTGGTCGACCCCATTCCTCTTCTCCCCCTGCTCCTCTGAAGGGGCCCTGGGACACACAAATAAATACACACAAATAAAAAGACTCCCCCTATTCTCAAACATTTTCTGGGTCCTTGTCTTCCCGCCCACTTCCCATATTTTCCCCTGTTTTCTTGGGAATCGACGATTAATTGTGTCTCTGTGTGTTTCTTTCCCTCCTGATCCTCATCATTTGCCGCCCAGCCGCCGCCCCAGCGCCCGGGGTTCCTACACCGGCGAGAGCCTTCCATGCTAACAGGGGATGCGTCGACCCCTATCCCAGGCTCCGTGAGGTTTTCGAGAGGATCAACAATTTGGGGCCCAACCCTGGGATATACGAGGGGGGGGCGTCCATTCTCGACAGGGGTGCGTCCGAATAGCCCCCTCGGGATGTATCCCAAGATTCCTCCCCTTTTCTGAGCGACCAAACTTTTCTGGTGGAAGTCGGGGATTGGGGGAGAAAAATCGCCTGCGACATGCTGCCGCTCCGCGCCGCCTCGCGGAGTGCTCGCGGGCGCCCCGTGCGCCGAGTGGGCCCGCCGACCGTGCGCCACGCGGCCGCCCGTGTGAGCCTCGTGGGCGCTCGCGGGCGCCCTGTGCGCTGAGCTCACACCACGTAGCTTTCACCACATGGCTTGCGCCCCACAGCTTACGGCTCATGCCTTTGAGCGCACGCCCCGCCCTACACATCCAGGTCGCACCGCACAGATTGCACGAAATAGTCATCGTTTTCACCTCCACCATTCGCACACTCTATATATGTATATATATATATACATACATATATATAACGCTGCGTAGTTACCACTTCTGCAATGCAACAACTCACGGCTTGGGATCCAGGCAGGCTATCATTATTTGGATTCCCGCGCGAGCGGCCCACCTGTTAACTACAGCGGCACCGAGGGGGGGCTGGGGAACCCGTTCTGCGGTCCGCCGCCCGCCCAATGCAGAGCGGCAGCGTAGGGTGGGAGGGAGGAAGGAAGAGCGACCTGCCCGAACCCGAAAGGCTGCGAAGCGGGAGAAGAGAGGGAGAGGAGGACAGGCGAGAGGCAAGCTGGGAAATCCAACTGTTACCCGCTAGACCCTAACATAACAAAATCCCCCATCAGTTGCAGGGTCACCGAGGGGGGGGGCGAGGAACCTTATTACCTAACAGCCTTTGCTGATAGGTTTCTAGTGGGCTCAAAAGAGGCATCATGACTCCCCAGGGGGTTCCGGGCGGGTGCCGGGAGAATCCGGGGGAGGCATCCGGCGCACCCAAATCGCCTGGGACATCCTCGCAAAATCGCCCGGGGACATCCGCCCGGAGCCAACTGTAGGCCACTTCGTGGTCTTCGAGTTCCCAGAACTCCATTCCCGGGCCACATTTTGGATGTCCGGAGCCAACTGTAGGCCACTTTGTCTTCTTCGAGTTCCCGGAACTCCATTCCCGGGCCACATCTTGCTTGCCCGGAGCCAACTGTAAGCCACTTCGTGTTCTTCGAGTTCCCAGAACTCCACTCCCGGGCCACATTTTGCTTACTGGATGTCCCCGTGCGCGCAGGTACGCACGGGAGCCACCTCGGCGCCATCGGAGGTGAGTTCCGTGGGTGCAGGTACGCACGGGAGCCACCTCGGCGTCATCGGAGGTGCGGCTGAGGCTGAGGCAGGCTGAGGCTGAGGCTGAGGCTGAGGCTGAGGCTGATGCAGGCTGAGGCTGATGCAGGCTGAGGCCGCAGGAGTATGCGGGAGCGCAGCAGGCTGAGGCTGAGGCAGGCTGAGGCTGAGGCTGAGGCTGAGGCTGATGCAGGCTGAGGCTGAGGCAGGCTGAGGCTGAGGCCGAGGCCGACGGCAGACTGAGGCTGAGGCTGAAGCAGGCTGAGGCTGAGGCAGAGGCAGGCTGAGGCTGAGGCTAATGCAGGCTGAGGCTGAGGCAGGCTGAGGCTGAGGCCGAGGCTGAAGGCGGACTGATGCTGAGGCTGAAGCAGGCTGAGGCTGAGGCTGAGGCAGGCTGAGGCTGAGGCAGGCTGAGGCTGAGGCTGAGGCAGGCTGAGGCTGAGGCTGTGACTGCGACTGCCGTTGCCACTGCGACTGCCATCGCGAATGCGACTACGACTGCGAGAACAGCAGAATTCTACAACAGGATTCTCATCTGAATATTAAGGGGAATGCTTCCAGATATGCTCCTACACATCGCTGTTAGGTTGCTTTGCCGGGATACTTTTTTCCATGGCGCGATGTCGGATCAGCCGCTCTGCGGCCAGCCGCCCACAACGCCGCGGGGTTCCGACCCCCCCCCCCAACAACTAATGCAAGTGCGCCCGCCGGGCCGCGCCGCGCTCAGGGCGCCCGCGCGCGCAAAGGCGCCGGGTAGCCACCAAGGAAAGAAGGGCACGACCAGAGAGGAGGCCCCCCGCCAGCAGGCGCCTCCCGGGAGGTGCACCGCGGCGGTGCCGCTTCGCCGGAAGCGCGAAGCAGGCGGCTGCGGCGAGCGCGCAGTGGGCGCGCCGCGAACGGGCCGAAAAAGGGAGCGCGCACCGGGCGGCCCCCGCCGCTCCTTTCCCGTCAAAAGGGGGGAGGGGGGGTCCGCGCGGGGTGCGCGGCAGGCGCGAGGTGCGCCGCCCACCCGACCTTGACCGTCCACTCCAGTTCCCCGGGGACACCCCAACACGGTGCGCCTCGCTGGGGGAACGGAAATGCACCATCATCGCGGCCCCGTGGAATGTGATCGGCTCCGCGTGCTGGGGGCTGTCGTCCCGAGGGGGTGCCGCGCCCGCGGCCCCCTCGTCTGGGGCGTGCTCCCCAGCCAATGCATCAGGCGATCCGGGGGCCCTGCCCGCTAGAAGGCGCATGGGGCCCTCATTGATTGGCGAACCTCCGCGCCGAGCTCGGTGTTCTATCCCGCGGGTCGAAGTCGCCCGTGCTGACGCGCTGCTCCGTGATCTCCTAATCTAACTCATGCGTTGGGGGAGACCGACTCGCGGGCACGTTTCAGCGCGAGTCCTCGCCCCCGCCCTCGTCGGACGAGTCCGCTTGCGCGGGGCGACGGCCAGGGCGCGGCCGCTCCCCTGAGCGGGCGGTCGCCCCGCAAACGCCGCGCCCAGTCCGCGGCGGGGGGCGTCCCGCGCGGGGGCGCCTGGGCACCTGGGGCCAGGGGAGGTGGGGCCGCGAGTTCGAGTCCTCCTCCGGCGCCCTCTGCGGCGGTCCCCATCCTGGCCTGGCCCAGGAGGCCGCGGCCTCTGGTTGGCTCGCCCGGCTCTGGGTTATGTCCTTCCGCGGCTTGCCGGGTTCTGGCTCCCGTCCTCTCCTCGACAGGTCGCCGCTTGCTTCCGCGCGATCCGAGGGCGCGCCGGCCCGCTTCCTGTTCCTTCGGATCCGAAGCGAACCCTTCCTGCATTGCACATTAGGGCCGGTCGCGGCGCATTGCCGCGAACGGCCACATGCGCTTGGGCAGTCACGAGCAAGACCGCGCGACTGCCTGGGCTGGACGTCAAAGCGCACAGCGCGCGAGGGGATGCGAGCAGGCGGTCTGGCCCCCTCAAAACAACTAAGAATGAATAGCGTCCGTGTTAGGGTGCTCATGGTAGCCGTGGAGCGATGAACATATATGCCCGTGGCCGGGCAAGGGTAACTATTTGTAGGTCTGCATACCCGTGTCTGGGCAAGGGTAATTACTTGACTGCGTTTGGATTGTCGTCCTCATTGATACCCGCTGGCCCTGAGTGGGGCCCCCCAGTGTTGGTGCGTGTCCTTCTTGTCTCGATAGGGCATGTACTTCTTTACTTCGCACTTGAAGGACTAATTGCCCTCCATCACTTGCAGCAGCAGCGCGCGATCGATGCACCCCTTGGTATGACCGTCAGCAGTCATGTCCCGTGCAGCACACCACTGTACGCTATGAACTATACCTCGGTCCATCATTTGTCTTTTCCAGCTGACGTGTCCCCGCAGGGCACAATCGGTCGGCGCTTCTTCAAGTCCTTACTTGACAAAGAATTGCAAACCGACTCAGCGTCTATGGTTAATTAATGCTGAGACCACCTAACTCGGGAATGTTAAGTGGAGTGGGCGCTATGGGATCCAGCTTTACGCTCATGTAGCGTACCTATGGCTCATGCAGCGTAACTACGGTAGGGTAGCAGCCCTCAAGATTTTGAGCGGCTGCCAGTGTTTCAGCTGAGTAGCTGGAACGCACCTGTCAGCGATGCGACATACATTGCGAACCGAGCAGATGCACTTCTGCTTTGCCATTAGGCGCGTGTCCGCGCAGTGGAAGGTTGGCCCATCGGATGCCATATCCCTTTGCCCCGTCATCTTCGTGCCCATTGAGGCGACGATATCCCAAGTCTCTGTGAGGGTCCACATCTCCTGTCGGAGTCATGAGCTGATATGTTATCTTCTTTGGG